CATATATAAGGAGGAGTAATCTAACAACGTAAACAAGGGTTATCGAACATGTGCCTAGATGGCTTCAAACGCTCTGATAAACGGGTGAATTAGAAAACCATGCTCACTGATAGAGAAACAATTGAGACGGGCATCTGACTGACACCAATAAAGCATTTAAAATATTTCACAGAAATTATCATGACGAATCTTAGATTTATAAGAGCTTTGACTGTTTCCAAACTCAAACCTTCTTCATGTGTTCAGAAGCAAGTCGTTGTAACCTTGAATCTGCCTTGGTTACCTGTAAGTCATTTAATGGCATGGGGTGATGCAACGATTTTCTATTCTTCTCAATATTATAACGGTTCTTTCTCTCCTTTATTTAGAACTATCCGTTGGAACTTTCGCTTAACTAACCTTTTTTAAATTTTCATATAGCATGACAAATATATGTGCAACCAGATTGTCCAAAATGTATGGCATTTTTCGCATCAACTTCATCTTATTGTTCTATCAAAATCAGATGAGAGCCATATCGCTTTTCCAACTAGATTTAAACCAACAATCAATAATTTCATGGATCTTAGTTTAATGACTATGAGTCTTGTTTTTACTCTTATACTATTCCAGCTAGCATCATTATTACAAAAAAAAGATGAATATTTGTTGTGAGTCTAACATTAGCTTTCATGTGGAGATTCAGATTAATACATTTTGTATATTTGGCCTCAGGTTAATTTTGCACAGGATAAACTGCAACTTACAAACTTTTTTGTTAGCTTTGATAAAATCAAGAAATGTATAACATTTTTGATGAGAATGGTAACTAAAAATTGTACTCTGGTGCTTTACTTCATGGAATTATTTACCACAATCCACTTCTTAATATAAATCACAGTCTATGTAGCTTAGGTTTATTTACAATTGATTAGATAAAAATTGATGTTCACTTTAAGCTTTGTTTCCATAAATTTACTTCGGCATGAAACATCAGATTTTTGGAAAAAAGTCAAAAACACGGAACTTGAGATCGATTTTTATTTTGTTATACGAAGTGAATTTCTTTTGATTTTTGCCAAATATTTGAAGTAAATCCTTAGTGATTAGAATCACAAAAGTTTAGGTTAAACTAGTGACCGCAGCTTTCCGGATTTGTAATGAATATAAAATTATTAATCAATCATAAAAAGTGACAATCTGCCGGTTAACGGGTTTAGCTTTTAACTGGTAGGTCACAGGTTCAGATAGTGATTTGGTTAATTCAATACACACGTAGAAGACAGTATCACCGACTATAGCATATTGTGATATAAGTTGGCAGGAGGTAGTCGGTAAGAAACCACGGATATAGATTTCGTGCTAGCTGGCACTCGTCAACAAGGCCTTCCTTCGGTCACAATGGGACTGATGCTCACTAGGGTGCTCGAACTCGTGTCACCCAGCTTTACAGTCTGAGGCGTTATCACTGAGCTATACAGGTAGTAACTGATGACCTCTCATATATTTACAGTTGTTGATCACTGAGTTGTGAATAATCAGCGTGTAACATGCCTAAACCCGTACTTGATAAATCAGTAGCATTAATTTTTTATCATTTGGCAATATATTGTTTACTCGTTTTTAACGACATATGCATAAATAATGCTATTTTGTATATATTGTGAAATATCATAACATAATTACCAAATTTCACAAAATATGAATTCATCACAATCTTTCAAACTTTTTATCCTTTCCCTCATTAAAGTTTGTATAATAGAAGGTACTAACTGTAAATTTCGATAATTGCTATAATTCCCTGATCGTATCCATTATCATTGATTCTTGGATTGAAAATTACATATAAGAGGAAAATTAACTCATATTTAATTGGTGTCTAAACATGATAGGATTGACCTGGATAACTTTTCTGAACGTTGTTATTCCTTTACTTTTCAAAATTTCGGATCGATAGACTAATTGCATATAGCAGGAAATAGTATTAATTTACATCATAGACTGATTGTGTTTAAGCAGCCACTGAAAACTAGGAAGCACTGGATCGCTGTTTCATCCTACCATTAGACTATTCAGCAGTGCACATCCACAAATCTTGAAATTGAACCTAGGACATTCATGTCTCCTGTGAGCCTTTAACCTTCAGACCACTGAGATATTACCCAATGGTCTACAAATTTCATAGTAATACAAATTATCTGCCCAGCGCTTTCTGGTTTTTGATAGTTGTTTGGCTAAAATCAGTTGATATAGCCTATGAAACGCAACAATCTACACAAACCCCTTATGGTAGTAAGGAAGAAAGTAGTTAAAACGGCACAACTAACAACAATAATAATAATATATCGTTTGTTTAGTCAAATTCATGTTCACTGAAATATTGATCTGAATGTATAAAGGCAAAAAAAACCCCCAGCTAAATCTGTTGAATAATATTCAAATTCCAAAGTACTTTCAAACTTTCGCTTCGCAAAATAATTGTACATTCAGCATAAGCTAAGCAGCATTAATATTGTTCAAAGGGTGGGTGAGAAATGCACTCGTTTAAATATAAAAGTTTACAAGTCAGACTAGAAAACTAATCTTTCATCCAATTTTCTCTCAAATTTTTTCCACTATAAAACTGTATGGGTTGCCATCCATGAATTCTATCTTATAGATATGTGAAAGATATTAGGATGAAAGTAGTAATAATAATAACCCCTTATTTAATACCGTCAACTAAAATTATTTGACGCAAAATCTTAGTTCCAATTAAAAAGAAAGTGTTATTGAAAATGTGAGCACAGTGGATAAAGTCAGTAGCTTTAAAGTTGAGATTTATTTCATAACCACGACAATTACTACGCTGATATGATATTACTTACCATTGAGGTATTTGTTATACAGTTTTAATTAATTGACTTCCTGGACTAACCCAACGGTCTTACAGTACTAGTACATTGTGAATGGTTACATCATCATGAACAGCTAGATTCGCGTTTGTGCCATTAGCTGAACATATGTGACTACAGTCACATACTGTCATCAGACAACTTGTATTCCCATCAAATATACCATTTCATTTCGAAGACAAGTTATAAAGAGATTGGTTTGAACACGACAAACTCTTCTTTATCCCATAGTTCCAGTGCTTTAGGGGACAAGCATTACTGTGAATAAAGTCATACATGCACAGTCCCTTTGGAGTTATACAAATTTAATTTCAGGAAAATAATGTCTACTAGCATGAGCTGGAATGTAGTAATGGATTGTATGACTCAAAAAATAAAGATATCCCTCCTTATCACCTGCTATCATATTTATATTTGTCTCTTTAATTATTCAATAACCAATCTTGATGATGGTCGTTGACATAACTGGCCTTATTTTATATTGAAGCTAACAGTGTCTGTGGTATATTTTAAAATACCATACCAATTATAGATTGGAATTCTCGATATTCAGATGTTTCATTGAGAAATAAACTTTAGTGGTCAAAGCTGAAAAGCTATAAACTATGTCGTGTAACTGAGACATATATAAACAAATGCAGTATAAATAATCACTCGACTTCACCATACAAACGTAGTGAATTTGTACAATTTATTTTACAGCTGTACCATTTAAGCCTTATTTAAAACGATTGATCCAACAAAACTTATTCGAGCAGGTTATAAGCAAGTTGAGGAAGCCAACTACAATGCTAGCTAGGAAGAATTCCTCTTAATAACGACCAGTGGTAAGTTGCGGGGACCTATGCAGGAAGCGTGTATAGTCAAAAACTATAGAAGTTCGCTACAGACTTGTATGAAGCTATTAGAAAATCACCCGAAGCATATGGATGTAGCTATGTAAAAGAAAGTTCGAGAAGCGAATGAACTAATTACTAGTTCCTCTTCCTTTTTTTATGACAGGGTGGGTCAGTCGATATTCTGGATTTTTCAGAGGATTACTACTTCCACCAACCAAGGTATTCATTAATACAGAAATTACATTCATCACAAACTGATTTAAACTGTTGACCTTAGTAGTATCTACAGAAAAAGAGGATAGTTATACTGATCAGGTTTTTACTGTTAACCTATTCCTTATATATTCATTCGCTAACCAATAGAGCACACAAAAGTAGGCTTTAGTTGCACAGACCTCCTACATCTCGACCGTATCAGTTAATGAAAGTATACAAGTAGACTAGTTCATCTCCTTGAAATATCACACACAATCTAATATCAACACCAGTTGCTCGCTGATTACAATATAGGCAAGCACTGCTTCAACAAGATATTTGATAGAATAGTTATAAGCGTTTCGTCCTCTGGAGAGCGGTGGGATGAATCACAAACACCCTGTATATACTTATACTTTTATACTCGAGATAATATTTCTGTAGCTACTAGTAACTCACAACTGAAATCACTCACTAGATAAACATTTTAGGGAATAAATTAGTGACTAGGTTGAATGAGATTTAGAGGAGCGAAGAACCGTGATTTTAAATTAAGAGTGTGAGAAGGTGTCAATACAACAATGAACGTTTTTGCATAGAAACAATAAACCGTATATACTTTTAAGATATTTTCAATGAAGGATCATCATCATTTGTGTACCATAATATGATAAACTTATTGAATTCACTACTTATCACTCATCAAAGCATCATCTTAATTGACCAATATCTAATTCAGAAAATTGTTCTCATAATAATTATATTAAATTAGTAATTAAATGTTTCATAATTTAACTAGATCACGAGATGATCTGCATTCAATTCTCCAATAACGCAATGACAAGTGCATACATACAGTGCATTTTCTCTGATGCATATATGATCTAAATCTAATAAGAATGATACGAATCGATGGCTTAATGATCATTTAAAAATTTACGTACAAGGTTAGATAGAAATCGTAGTGAATGTGCGAAAGATAAAAATAATTTTGAACTTGTGGCTGTAAATTCGACAAGCGACTGGATAAAATGCGACTATATACTCAACAGTTGGTTGACTGGTTTCCTACCGTAGATAAAAAGGCATGTCTGGTATTCTTTACAGAAGACATTCTTAAAAACACAAAATTCGACAATGGATGATCTTATATATACAAGAATGAATATAAAACAAAGATCATCAAATATAGTTTATGTACATCACAACAAAGGCAATATTTTGTTCCGATTATCTTTTAATGGACGCCAAAATACTGGGCATGTATACCGACCATCTGTGATTCTTGGCAAAAATCCAGGAACAAGCCAACCAGTTTGATCTTTCAAAAGTTGTGTATCATATTGAACGTTTAGTTTTTCATTTAAAACACTCAACATAGTGAAATTATCCAAGTATGTTTCAGTGAGATGTAATTTTGTACATAATTCTTTATTCTCACGAACATATTTTACAGCAAGTGAATACTAAAACATTTATGTATACAAGGTTAAAGAAAATGAATTTTTCGGATATTTCGAATTAACACAAATTAAAATAATCATGCATAGCTAAATGAACTATTAATTTCAATTGTTTGATATTTATCCGAGATAAACTTGTGAGAGCAGATAGCTTCACACTATTATACTATCACTACAATTAGAATACACGTATTTTGAGATGACTTAATTCTCTTTCCAGTTCATATTAACAATAAAAATCTCGATAATAATGAATCAACCTAAATATACCACATAATTTCAACATAATAATAATAATCCCTAAAACAAAGGTTTTCTTTTTTTGACTACCTCCTATTGTTAAAATAATCCATTACGTCATTGAATGAAAATAAAGAAAATTTTCTTCGCTAAATTCTTTTTATTTTAACTATAGATTACTAAAAAGAAATTTTGACTTGATACCTAGTCGCGTATAATCAGTCAGTCAGTAACAACGTAGAACTTCGTACGTACGTACATCAGTTCGAGTTGCCACACCACATTAGCACGGAGATACAATTGTGAATTTGGGAAGGAAAAAAAAGAGACAAGGAGGAATAAGGAGATCAAAATTTGGGAGAACACAAAGAGTGTATGCACCTGCGCCATTGCAAACGATTTTGAGCCCTGTCATTCAAGGTCTCTAACCATCGGTTGCTATCATCTCGCGGATCCCAACCAGATAATCTACACGCGCATAATCACTATTTTTGGTCATTTAAAATTTATATGTTTCAAATTTAATGTATTATGAAAAAGTGAGTAAAACCAATTTCTAATGTGCTAAAGTTTCTTTCTAATAAAATTTGAAATAATAAAGATTTTGAAGGTAAACAATACTTTGATTTATACCAGTACTTTCAACGTAATAATGATAACATCGAAATATATCGATATGAATATTAACATGTATGTGTTGTGTTCCTGCAAGAGAATATCGAAATAAAGTTAACTTTTCATTACACTTTTATGATTAGGACTAACTAGGAATATCTTTGTAGGTTCCAGAATAGTATTTATGTTGACGCATATGCGCTAATACATGGTTTGAAGGGATTGGGTGGTATGAGTCTAAAACAGGCTAATTGATGAATACGTATTGATTTTTCACTTTCCCTTTAGACCTTGGATTTTAGTATTGACCTACAATTAGAATCCATCAATTTTATGTTTGGCTTCTCACGGCGTGATATGTACGATTATTTCGAATCCTTTGATTTATAACCTGTAAATTTCCACACCTCACCTTGATGTGAAATATAACAGCTTCAACCGATGAGCATTTACTACAGTTTAGGTCTTTTTATGATGAACTTCCTTGTCTAGCTATAGAAGGGATGTTATTGAGTAAAAGTAAGGGTAAATGTTTGAGCAATGAGACAAACCAGGCAAAACAATTTTAAACGAACTTTAAAATTCCCCATAAAATATTCAAAAATGAAGAATATTTGAGCGAACCATTGTTTTCAATAACTTCATCATCAGACTCTACAGTTATAAGTCCATAATTATGATATTTTACAAAGGTCAAGAATAAGGCATGTTTTAATTAATTTGACAATGTTATATGTTAAAAATGATGAACGTTTGCATCTGTTACAACATATATATACTTCAAAATTGTATTATTTGCAAATCAGAAAAGTCATTCAATAAAGGTCAGAATGATTTGGAGTAAAGTGTCCAGCCACAATAAGTAGAATAGTATTATAGCAAAAATGAAAATTATCAGAATGGGTTTTGTGGAGAGTTTTAGAAATTTCACAGGTTGAAATCATGAGTCGATTGAAGCTAGACCACCATGGAAAACCTGGAATCACTTGACGGCCGTTTCGTCCTAGTATGGGACTCCTCACCAGTGCGCATCCACGATCCCGCGGGATTCGAACTCAGGACCTACTGGCTTCGCGCGCGAGCACTTAACCACTAGACCACTGAGCCGGCATCCGGGGTTCGAATCCCGCGTGGGGCGGGACCGTGGATGCGCACTGCTGAGGAGTCCCATACTAGGACGAAACGGCCGTTCAGTGCTTCCAGGTTTTCCATGGTGGTCTAGCTTCAATCGACTCATGATTTCAACCTGTGAAAAATGAAAATGCCAAAAAAGTGTGAATAAAATGCGTAGTAGGAGAATTTCATCTTGTCAATTGAGATAATAATAATACGATTGTTGTGTGAATATAATATGTAATAAGGGGGGTTTTATCAAGGTAATTACGATAAACGAATTGGGAATGATGTATGTGAAGATTGAGATACAGATCATCAAAAATAATGGTGATGAGGAAAAAAATTCAACAAATACAAATAAAGGAAGGGAGTAAGAGGTTTATAATATTCAGTCTACGTATTCGGTGATTCAGTCGTAGGGCAAGGTAAACAAAGAGGCTGGATATACTTTTTCTGGATACATAAGTTTGGTTTTCAGGAGTTCATCCAGATGGCTTCGGCTATGTAGAGCAATCGTAATCTAGCTCCTTGAGGTAGATATTTTGGAACTTGATATAAAACAGAGAAAGCTTCCTCTATTTTGATATGATGTTTACCATCTACCAAGTGAGAAAGATTAGTGCTGTCGATCGATTCAGTAACTCCTTTTCCCAACCATGCTGGTACATGTTCACGAACACGCAAGGATAAACCCCTCTGAGTACGGCCTACATAACTAGCTCCACAGGAGCAGTTGAATTGGTATACACACATGGAGGAGCCCATCTTCGGTAACCTATCCTTGATTAGTTGTATGAGTACTGGTTTAGTTGAGAAAATTATGTGTAGCTTGGCGGCGTGAAACGTCCTTTAGATAGATCTTTTGAGTCAATGTGTTAAAATGTTACCCGCTATGTCCCCCTTAAAGTCTAGTCTCAGATATAGGGTTTATTTACTGTCACAATTTCTTTTTTTAGTACCTTCTACGAGGTATTTTTTTAACGAAATTATCTGGATAGCCATTATTTCGTAATGTGTTGTTTAGTACATCTATTTTGTCATCCACACTGCCTTCAGAACATAATAACTTGATTCTGTGGTTGAGACATTTAACCAAATTTATTTTATACTGAAGAGGTGTGAAGCTTTGGAAATGGGTATACTGACCCGTCCATGTACTCTTTCTAAATATATTTCGCTTTATGGAACCGTTTATCCCTTCTAGAAAGTAGGACATCCAGAAAAGCTATACTATTGTCTTTCTCTTTCTCGCTGGTGAATTTAATGGCTGGGTGGACATTATTGAAAGAGTTCAGCATCTCCTGTTTGTTGATATTTTCGTCACATACGATTAATGTGTCATCTATGTATCGACAGTAATAATCAAGCTTACTTAGGATGTCCTTAAACGGTCCATTTTCTAGTTTGGCCAGAAAAATATTAGCAAGGATCGGGCCTAGAGGTGACCCCATTGCTACCCCATCTACTTGTCTGAAAAATTCATTGTTAAACTTAAAGTTGATATTCATAGTGCATTCCAACAGAAGTTCTTTCATTTTACTTACTGGGATCGCTATCTCTGTTTAGAAATATTGCACCAAGAACTGGTTAAGCATAGTGTTAAAGATGTCTTTGAATCTGTGGATACAATTAAAAATATGAATATAAATGGCAGAACTATGGTATCACTAAACATAACATGTTTGTTCACTAACATCCCTCTGACTGAAACTATCGATTACATATGTGGTGATCTAGCTTCAATCGACTCATGATTTCAACCTGTGAAATTTCTAAAACTCTCCACAAAACCCATTCTGATAATTTTCATTTTTGCTATAATACTATTCTACTTATTGTGGCTGGACACTTTACTCCAAATCATTCTGACCTTTATTGAATGACTTTTCTGATTTGCAAATAATACAATTTTGAAGTATATATATGTTGTAACAGATGCAAACGTTCATCATTTTTAACATATAACATTGTCAAATTAATTAAAACATGCCTTATTCTTGACCTTTGTAAAATATCATAATTATGGACTTATAACTGTAGAGTCTGATGATGAAGTTATTGAAAACAATGGTTCGCTCAAATATTCTTCATTTTTGAATTTTAAATGCCTTTAATAATAATAATAACAATAATAAATTAAAATTATCTTACTTTGACATGATAGAGTTGAAGAAGACAAGCTGTCCAAGTACTATCTACAATTTGTATTTGTTTAAGATTACCAATGGAAATATTACAACTAGGATATTGATTTCGTATAATATTTACTGTTTCTTCAGTTAGTGGGGGAGCATAACAAATACGTGGAGATTGATTCAATGAAAATTGAACTAAATAATTTATGAAAGTGGGAAATATTGATCCATGCAGAGATTTCATTCTTTCATCTGACAGATTATTATGTAATTTGTTCCTTTTTTTTAAAAAAAAAAAAGAAAATGAAAATACTTTAGTTCAACGTTCCGTAAAGATAAATTAATCTGTAACATTTGAATACTTAATTAAAGAAATATTTCATTATAGAGATTTTTTTGAAAAATCCCAGTTAATTTACTAATACACATGAACAGTAGATCATTGTCTTCATTAAATTGTGTCTCTCTGTTTATCATTGGCAATGAAAACTTTAGTAAAGAACTACTGAAACGATCTGAATGTTTAAATAATTTAGAAAGATGAAAATATTTTATTGCATTAATTCATAGTCAATCAGTCATAATCCGTGGAAAGAACGAAACAAAACTGTGTTAGCTCAAGTATCTACACTGTATCAGTACAAGGAGATGAAATTAACGAGACGAATAAAAAAGGAATCTAAATGATTGTAGTGGAACTGATAATGCAAAAGACTAGATGTAGCGAATATGGTTTGAGAAGTAGAAATTGAAAAGTATAACATAGGACGCTATATATTGGAACTCAAGATATAGAGTGTAAATAGTGAATGCAACGATGTCATTCGGACTGATTCTTACTCACTTCACCCGATGTCTACCTGTTAATTTCGATAATTGTGCCGGCCCAAGTCAGGTAGTCTGGATTTACTAACACGACTCAGATCATCAGTCAATAATTTTGTAAGCTAATGCTATCTTGACTTGGTTGCCTCTGGGTTTCTTCCAATCTACTCTTATATTATCGTTAGGAGTAAGGAAAAGAACCTATATTCACTTTAATATCAGCCGAGATCATACATCTACGCAACACATTATTCATGTATAGGTTCAGATTAATGCTACCGTGAATAAACCGAATGAGGTGATGTTATATCCCGATAAGAATAATGAATGGTAATTCTTGGGATCCATTTATGGACCAATGATATGAGTATATTTTTATCGTATAATTGTCATGTAACTAAACTATTCATATTCATGTCCCTATTATTATGAGCTTTATTTTGACTTATGAACTATTATTATACGATTTACCATTCTTGAGTTATGGCCTGTCTATTAATTACTATCTCCCTTATTCACAGCCACTTTTGGCTAAATATTATACAAATGTTATTTTCTATTTTATGGTACGTTATGGTCGGTTTGATTGCTATATAAACCCCGTATGTTTGAAATAAAACTCCGCCTGTAGCTCTTATAGGGTTGCTGCCGGTCCCAAGCCCGGGTAAAGGAGGAGGGTTGGGTATGGGGTTAGCGTCCCCATCCCATAGAAAACTAACTCGCTAAAAAAACGTTTACCAGAAAAAATAATCCAAACCATTTTAACTCTGCCCTGGGAGTTAGAAGGTCTTCATTTAGAAGAATTATGACGCTTCATGGTGAAAGCCGAGTTCCTTCGGAAGCCACGAGGCCGATGCCCCTTCTAACAACCAGAGCAAAAATTTTTATAGGTACATGGAACGTTCGAACAATGTGGGAAACCGGGAAGACCAGTCAAATATCAATGGAAATGAGGAGATACAACTTAGCAGTACTGGGAATCAGCGAAACCCATTGGACCCAAGCTGGACAGAAAAAGCTAGCTACGGGAGAGATGCTGCTATACTCCGGTCACGAAGAGGACAATGCTCCACACACTCAGGGACTTGCTCTAATGCTGTCCAAAGTAGCACGAAATGCACTTGTAGGATGGGAATCTCACGGATCCAGAATCATCAAAGCATCATTCAAAACAAAGAAGGAGGGGGTCTTAATGAATATTATCCAATGTTATGCACCCACCAATGATAGCAACGACGAAATTAAAGATCAGTTCTACGAGCGGCTGCAGTCAATCATTGAGAAATGCCCAGGAAAGGACCTAACTATTCTGATGGGAGATCTAAATGCCAAAGTCGGAATAGACAACACTGGATATGAAGATTTTATGGGACGACATGGACTGGGAGAAAGAAACGAAAATGGAGAACGATTTGCAAATCTATGTGCATTAAACAAATTGGTCATAGGAGGCACAATATTTCCACACAAGCGTATACACAAGGCTACATGGATCTCACCGGACCACACTACAGAGAACCAAATAGATCATATTTGCATTAACAAAAAATTCCGAAGGACAATGGAAGATGTGAGAACCAGGAGAGGTGCTGACGTAGCTTCAGATCACCACCTAGTTGTAGCCAATTTAAAACTGAAGCTAAAAAAGAACTGGACAAGTGGACAAACAGCAATACAAAGGTTCAATACAGCCTTCCTTCGAGATACTGTCAAACTCAATGAATTCAAGATAGCTCTCAACAACAGGTTCCAAGCCTTACAAGATCTACTGAAAGAAGAAGAAACTACTATGGAGGACAACTGGAAAAGCATCAAAGAAGCATTAACTTCAACGTGTCAAGAGGTTCTCGGTCTAAAGAAATACCATCATAAGGAATGGATCTCTACAGAAACACTGGACAAGATCAAAGAAAGGAAGAACAAGAAGGCAGCAATAAACAACAGCCGAACACGAGCAGAGAAAGTCCAAGCACAAGCTGAATACATAGAAGCAAACAAACAAGTGAAGAGGAGCATTAGAGCCGACAAGAAGAAATACGTGGAAGAACTAGCAACGACGGCAGAAAAAGCTGCTAGAGAAGGAAATATGAAACAACTTCACGATACAACGAAGAAACTAGCAGAGAAATACAGTAAACCAGAGAGGCCGGTCAAAGACAAAGAAGGCAAGCCAATCACCGAAATTCAACAACAGCGTAACAGATGGGTAGAATACTTCGAGGAACTCCTGAATAGGCCGGCTCCAATGAATCCAGTGGACATCGAAGCAGCACACATAGATCTTCCTATAGATGTCAATCCACCAACTACGAAAGAAATTAGAATGGCCGTCAGACAAATCAAGAACGGGAAAGCAGCAGGACCCGACAACATACCAGCTGAAGCACTGAAATCAGACATCGAAGTAACCACAAGCATGCTTTATCTTCTATTCAAAAAGATTTGGGAGGAGGAACAAGTGCCGATGGACTGGAAAGAAGGACACCTCGTCAAGATTCCAAAGAAAGGAGATCTGAGCAAATGTGAAAACTACAGAGGCATAACACTATTGTCAATACCAGGGAAAGTCTTCAACAGAGTGTTGCTGAACAGGATGAAGGATGCAGTAGACGCCCAACTTCGAGATCAACAAGCTGGATTCCGTAAGGATCGGTCGTGCACAGACCAAATTGCAACACTACGGATCATCGTCGAACAATCAGTTGAGTGGAACTCATCATTATACATCAACTTCATTGATTATGAAAAGGCATTCGACAGTGTAGATAGGAGGACGTTATGGAAACTTCTTTGACACTACGGAGTTCCTGAGAAGACTGCCAATATTATCCGGAACTCATACGACGGACTACAGTGCAAAGTAGTGCATGGAGGACAGCTGACAGATGCATTCCAAGTAAGGACCGGAGTCAGACAAGGCTGTTTATTCTCTCCCTTCCTCTTTCTTCTGGTGGTCGACTGGATTATGAAGACCTCAACATCTGAAGGAAAACACGGAATACAATGGACAGCTCAGAATCAATTAGACGATTTGGACTTCGCAGATGACCTAGCCCTCCTATCACGTACACACGAACAGATGCAGATGAAGACAGCCAGTGTAGCAGCAGTCTCTGCATCAGTAGGCCTCAGCATACACAAAGGGAAAACTAAGGTCCTCAAATTCAAAGCGGAGAACAGCACTCCAATCACACTTGATGGCGAAACTCTGGAAGATGTAGAGTCCTTCACATACCTGGGAAGCATCATCGATGAACAAGGAGGATCCGATGCAGACGTAAAGGCGAGGATCGGCAAAGCAAGGGTCGCATTCCTACAATTGAAGAACATATGGAACTCAAAACAACTTTCAACCAATATCAAAGTGAGAATCTTCAATACGAACGTCAAGGCAGTTCTATTGTATGGAGCTGAAACTTGGAGAACTACAACAACCACAATCAAGAAAGTACAAGTATTTATAAATAGCTGTCTTCGCAAGATACTCAACATCCATTGGCCGGATACCATCAGCAACAGCCTTCTGTGGGAGAGAACAAACCAACTTCCAGCTGAAGAAGAAATTAGGAAAAGACGATGGAAATGGATAGGACATACATTACGCAAATCGTCAAACTGCATCACGAGGCAAGCCCTAACTTGGAATGCTGAAGGGAAGCGGGAAAGAGGAAGGCCAAAGAACACATTACGTCGGATAATAGAAGCAGATATGAAAAGGATGAATTACAACTGGACGGAGCTAGAAAGGATTGCCCAGGACAGGGTTGGATGGAGAATGCTGGTGAGCGGCTTATGCTCCTTCACGAGGAGTAACAGGCGTAAGTAAGTAAGTAAGTATGTTTGAAATAAACGATTCATACTGCAGAGGCTGATACTGGTGTTCTGGACTTAACTGGCTGGGCTAGATAGGAAGCGAGACCAATCAGGACTCTAGGCTGCTCGCACGTGTTATATGCATCACTGGTTCGATCGATAATTCACTGCTCTCTAATCGGCGGTCACAAGTTATAACAGGTGACTAAAAACAAACATTAATGATCAAGCTGAAAAATTATACTCTTACTCTCATTAGGAAGCGATAGCTCAATTAGCTCTGATAACACGGTATATTAAATTCTTTATTCAATATAATTTACGAAATCAAATCATAAACTTTTAAACGAGTGAAAATGAAAATTATCAACCATAACTATTGTGTAAGGGTTAAACTAAAGTGTTCAGATAAATAAACTCAATGAATAGACCGAAATTATAAATCGATAGTATAAAGTTGATTTCTGTGTTAACTGAAAGATAAAGATAACCTACTCATCATCTATAGTATTTTTAAAATTCATCTATTTAAGGTGGTTCTGCTTGTGATATAAACTTTCTCAAATAATATAGAGCTAATGTTTGTTACCTACAGAGCTAATTCGTTGCTTCAATGCTTGTCATCACTATAATTTGAGATCTTTTTCTATCATTCTGTTAATTGTTTTTTCTGTCATCTTCAATTACGGATTTTATTCACACATATATCGCCATAAAAAGAAAAGGAGTTAGAAAAGTCACAAGTGAATTGGTGAGCCTTAAATAGTAGAATCTGACCCAGGACACTATAGAACCATGTTAATTTTCTACACTTCTCAAACTAATCCAGTTGTATATCATCGAAAAAATTTGAAAACACGATGTCAAAAGTCTGGATACTAAGTACTTTGGGATAAATGTAATTCGACAACTTAAATCCAGCAGACCAAGCGTAAGTACAGACGTTGTAGAAATTGTAAATTATACAGTGTCGTGAATCGTGTGTATTGATGTATCAATCAATCGTTAGATGACTTGAGTGAGTTTATACAGTTCAGAAATTTAACAGAATATAATAGTGGAACAGAAACATAAGCAGTCACACATATGCAAGTGTAGAAGATAAAAGTTCACAATTAATGATACGAACAAGTACGGTAGATCATATGATTGTGCTAGAAGTCACTGACAGTATATCATATGAGGATCTTAAAATGTAGACTGTTTTGTTTCTGTTGGGGTGATCCAGAAAATCTAGTGGCTGTAAAACACTAGTTGATTGTAACCAAACCTCTGTGTGTTGTGGACACGGAATCTTGAGGATATCTGAACATAGAAGAAACTGGTGGCAGATGATAACCAGTGATATTTTTATATTTTTTTCCAGCTAAATGTAGCTTGTGGCGAAGATTAACTATTAATTACATAAAATCTAGACTTATAACTGATTAGCTTAAAAAATTGATAAAACCGTTTTCTCAAATGGTATCTCACATTTTACAATATCATCATTACACCGTTATGTGGTTTCCTGGAAAATTTCAAGATGACGTGATTTTTACCTACAAACTGACATAATACAAAGTTGTCTTCGTACTGTAATCATGGATAGCTTCGTACTACCATTTTAGAAGAAAATTTTCTTGACTGGAACGTCTTGTTTCGTTTTATCAGCATTCAGTGATAACTATATTTGTATTTGTTAGGATATTCGGAAAAATATACCAATAATTATCATGTTAAGTCTAATGGTGTCCATTGGTTACGATTGGAGACTCTTGGTGACATGGCTCAGAATCGATCACAATGGCATCGGTGTACACACTCTCTGTCTTCCCTTAAACTAAGAGTGGAAGCATCCATTCCTCTAAGATTGTAGGTACATCTTGTTAGAGAGTGCCAACTGGCACAGACCTAGGTACGAAACTTCTCAATAAATACCTCAAAACACCAAACATTAGAACACATCAGTGAAATATATTGAATGAATAAACAACAAACAATGAAAAATAAAATAAAAATAGCCAAAACAGATGATTATTTACCATAACCACATTTCATTGTATTCCACTCCATGAGAATTGAATTCAACATCCATACCAACCGACACATCATCATCATCATCATTTAAATTTTTCTCTGATTCAGGTTTTTGTTCATTAAGACGAAGTAATTCTCTTGTTAAGACAGTAGTTAATAGACCAGCACAACGACCAGTTAAATAATGTTCTCTTTTACTAAGGGATTTATCACCATTAACAGAATTATTAGTAGCGAATAGATGGAAAAGTTGCCCCAAGAAAACTATCACTGGTGAAACAAACAATCGCGTTGATATACTAACATTATATATTCAAATAAACAGAGAAGGCGAAAAATAAAACTTAGATTGCATTCATGACAAGAGATGACAAATAGTACTAAATAGGAAAATATATGACCCTCAAGCAAATATGAATTTGAATCTATGTGTATGGACACGCACATAATTATTTATGGTTTGTTTATTTGAGCACATAAATATTGGTACAAGGGGGCACCAGATACACATGCGCCACACAATTCTCATTTCATTTATGTGAGGGCTGTGACACTGCCCGGGTGCCCAAACCGAAGCAGGTGGTTTTCTTAATGGGCCACACCCGGAGCCTTCGACCTAAAGGTCTGATCCACAAGGTAGTTGAGCAACGTAAGGAGATGCAGTCCCATGGCAGCCGGTGACCAATAATTGGTCATGTCATTTGTTCCTTTAGGGTACTGGATTCCATGTGCACCATCGGTTTGGGATCAGGGTCTTCCAACTCCCCTAGGTGTAATCTCCGTGTTCACCAACCGTATGGACACACACATATACATTAAAAACGAGGTGATGGGAGAATTAAAAATTTATAAATGGATTGTTATTTTGAGAAAAAATAGGGTTGAGGATCATTTAATACACTAATTAAAATTATGCAATGCATAGACTAAAACCAGAACGTTTTTGGCTTAATTATCTAAAAATTCAATGACAAGTTAAGGTTATGTACATTCAAACTATTTAAATGGAAATATACTCGATCTGTCTAGCCATATGTCTCAACATACAACAACACTCATTCGCGAAGCTTTTGCTTCGTCAGGTAGAACAATCAGTCACTCATATAATAACTGTATCTCAAAGACTAGTACACAATCTTATACGTGATTGTTGAACTGTATTAATTCAATAACACAGTAAATGTAAATATGACTCGATAAATTTACAATAAGAATTAATAAAAATTTTGTCAGGAATGTGCTAACAATGGTGTTAGGGTATAATCACTGCCTATTTTTCCTTAGTTTGAAAACTTGCATATTTTAAGCAATGGAATTCAACAGCTTTTTTACGATACATATTCCTACGTGTTGACTTTATGGTCTGTATGTCTGTAAAACTTCATAAACTAATTTCCAGTGTTTTACCAACTTATAACTAGATTAAATGTAATTTTAGCTATGAAGTAGGGATAATAATTTCAGAAAATTTAAATTTAAAAAAAACACGGGCACTGAACAGTTATTTGGGTTTAGTTGAAGAATCATTAATAGCAGTGTGTACTTACAACCTCATACGAGATCGGATCCAGAACCTTTTACGTTTCATAGCTGGTATGAGAATTTGGACAGTTGGGTATGAACCCAATCATCTACAGTCCCATCTTCAGTCAGATTCCGAAACAGTATGACAATCATCCCATCCCATTAGTGACAAATATCTCACTCTCAATATGAGAGCTTAGAATTTAGTCACATGTCACCACATAATAGGTGGTTTGTGGAGTTTTCCTAATATGAATAGCTTTATACACGAACTGACATGGTGAAAAACATACGGTCACAACGTCTTATGTGGGATCATAAGTGTGCACTTTTGGCTTCTAAATTATGATGTATGCTCCCTCGATTTTAGTGATTTTCAGTATGGCTTGACTTTGTGATATATATTATCTTTAGATCAAATAAATCCTAAGTAATTACACAGAGGTGTTTGCAAGAAACTGTTAGCCAGATGAAGCGAACAAAAGACCAAAAGACAAGGTTGACAGAAAATGTGTGCATTCATCTACTGTTGCTCAGTGCCACCAAAACACTGCATTTCGTCAGCGTCTTCACCAAACAGGTCTATATCATCTGCGTATTGTAAGTCGATAAGTGGACCTCATGGTAGGAGATCAAACCCTGAAAACTCAGTCGGTGAAAACTTTATTTCCAGCAGTAGGTCTATGATGGACTTAAACAGAAAAGATAAAGTACAGCCTTGTCGGACATCACTTGAAGTTGCAAATTCAGATGACAACTTTCCATAAGTTCTGACTCAACAACTAGAAATGCTCAAGTGAAGAGCGTTCACAAGGTTTATGTAATTCTGAGGTACGCTTTTCAATGACAGACACTGACACAGAACCTCTCGGTCTACAGAATCAAATACTACTCTGAAGTCAAGCAAAATCGTCATTGTCGGATACCGATAAGTATGCCTGTGTTCTAGAACCTGCCGAATAGTGACTATGTGGTCAATGCAGCCACGACCAGCTCTGAAATCAGCTTGATTTTCTCGTATTTGTATTTCTCGAGTCTTTGTTAGGCGTCCAGTATTTATTGAGGCTAGTATTTTAGAGGCTATATTAGTCCAACTAATCCCTCTATGGTTATCACAGGACGATTCTGACCTCTTCTTATATATTGGAACAATCAGTGATTGCGACCAGTCAGATGGGATTACGTCCAACTCCCAGATTTTAGCTAAAATACTAGTCAACTTAATCGCTAAAATTGGACCACCATACTTAAAGACCTCTGGAGCCAATCCATCCGGACCAGCTGCTCTTAATCGTTTCGGATTAGCTATAGCTTGTTGAACTTCAATTAGAGTCGGGGGACCTAGTTCAATGTTCCATTCAGGTTGTCTAGGAATGGTGCGTAGTTGTAGAGTAGCTGAAGGCCAGTCGAACTGCTTCTCAAAGTGTTCCGACCATCGTGCTAAACGTCTGGACTGCGAGCAGATTAGATTGTCGTCTTTTACCGAGATCGTCTCGCTTACACTTTACTTCTTAACTCTGGTTTCTTTTATTGATCTAGAAAGCTGTCTTATGTTACCTACAGCCGCTGCCTTTTCCATTTCGTTTGCTTTCGTTGCCCAATACTGCTCACGATCGTTACATAGCCTATGGTTTAATCTAGATCTGATTTGTTCACGCTCTTCAACATGTTCAGAGCCTGATGAGATGAGTCTACGAGAATCCATCAGTGAAATAGTAGAAATCCATTGGTTTTTCTGAACCCTTTGGTTTAAATCACTGCTGTTTGTATATCTTTCAAGGGAACATCTAGGTCAGCCTCGTTTTCAGAACTGACTAAGTGTGACCTCAGTTGTTTCAGGAATCTACAAATGGTTTTCTCGTCACTTAGTTCAATCCTAATGGGTCTTCTTAGTGAGGCACAAACAAATGCATGCTCGTATTAGAGCATGATCGGAGTCCAAACAGGTATTCCAGAATGAGCGACAGACTTCGGTCGAGCCTCTCCAACGATGACTGATGACAATATGGTCTAGAGTCCATCGCGGTTTGGTTCAGGCAGTTGCCGTGTTCAGAAAGCTTTCTGTAAAAGTCATCTTTCAATTCATCCAGGTTGCAGGCGGTGTGAGTGTAGGCAGAAACGACGAAAAGGCAACGACATGTGTCTCTGTCCTTACGAGTTCTTACGGAGCCGTTTAGCCGAACAGCACATAGGCGACTGTTAACAGGGATCCATCCTAATAGTGCTTGTTCTGCCCTCGTACTTAGTGCTGTCTACACCTGCCAGTCTACAAGAAGTAGCCATCGGGTCGCCAGATACACAGAGGGTGTATCTCGTCGGCATCCCGCCTTGGCGAGGTGAGGTCAAGTGGATGACCACACTAGGATCCTGTATGTGTATTCCGGAGACACAGCATACATCAATAATACGAGACTATAGGGTTTTAACGAAGGAGGCCTGTTGGCCGATTTGACACAAGGTACGTACGCCGAAGGCTCCAATTTGTAGTTTGGAGCGAGATTTCAGTAGACCTGGGACAGTGTTTCGCACAATAGAATCGTTTGCCATGGTGACACTTAAGGAGCAAGTTAAAAGAAGTATAGAGTTGAATGTCAAGGTAGGAGGCATAATAGGGATTGAAGAGGGAGATTGATTATGAATACAGTGGTCTTGAGTGCTATTAAAGGTATGAGGGCGGTTATCACTTTTCGGTTGCCCACACCGTGGAAGGGTTCTTCTGGAGGTACCTAAAAATGAAATTTGGTTAGAGGTGGTCTTTGTGACCTGAGAGTGTGACCGCAGTGCCCAAAGGACAACTGCTTGAGGTCGGTCACACACGACCTTTCTGTGAGTAATTTTCGTGTTAGCCTTGTACTTGTTAAGACCATACCTCCGGAGACGGAAATCCATGTGGTAAGGTGAGTTGTGCATCTTTGGGGTCGACCTCTTCTAAACCCACCCCTCTTTGTGGGAAGGCAGCATCTCTGTCATGCTGGTTGTCTGAAGGAAACACCTTACTGTCGTCACAACTCTGTACAATCAGCAGTACGACTTCGCCCTCAGACCTTGGGGTTTGTTGCTTTTAGTCTTACCGTTCTTCAACCAACTTGTCTGGCATGGTAGGATCTTGAGGAACGATCGTTCCAGCCAGTATAGCTCGATTGGTTCATTACGATAAGCAAGCTCGACCACCACGTTACGGTAGCAGCAACGGTCGGAGGTCGAACGCCTTAAGCACTAAGTTAGTGAAAACTAACTACAAAGGTGTTATGTAGGTATCAATTATTTAGTCACCGTTACGCTAAAACAGAGATAAATGAACTAGATAGTGAAATTACCTACCATACATTCTATGGGATAAGGAAACTAACTCAAAGACATCAATGTTAGCTTGGATTGGGATTGTCATACAGTAGAAATAAGTCATCTAAACATACACTAATTTTATCAAAATATTTCAAAATATACGTCTTATTTCGAAGAAATTTAACACAGAAAGATAGATTTGTAGAACACAGGATAGATCTCATGATTATCACTTAGATTCATACAATTGGGTGGCGGATAACTATGATACAACAAAATAGTTAATGATAGGCAAAATAAGTTGACTAATTACAATTGATTGATCACTGGGTGGTGATCAATGTCATGCTTGTCTAGTCCTTATTAGTGCAGATCGAATGCTATCGATCATGTTGCAATGTGGCCACCAGTCTAGGTGACTCGACACTGCGGGCACTATGTATTGAGATTTAGATGGTGGTTGGAGGTAGTCAACAGGAAACCCTGTTGACTACCTCCAACCACCATCTAAAAGTTGACTAATTATTTAACCATATAATATACTCTTAAAATACATTAGTTTTCCATCTAATAGTATTGATAGTAGCAACAACAGAAACTTACTCTACATTCCATTTAAAACGGTAAGGTGACAGCAAATACAAATCAAATGAACGTAACCAACAGCTGGTTTCATGGTAAAACTCTGTTGTCGCGTTAGATAGATCAAAACATGATAACTGGTTAAACCAAAACTTGATTAAACGCTCTTGAGTATTCTCTGGTGGTGGCCATAGAAATGGAGAGTGATGATTTGCTGTTGAGCATCTAAATGAATAATATTCAATGTAAGTGAATAGTTCAAAAGCTGATTGATTGATTAGTTGAATCCAAAACAATATTTGATTATTCAGGTTACCCTTTGTAGAGGGATTATTAATTCCTAAAAAGAAACGCAATAAGAGTACAAAGTAGAAAGAAAATATGTCGATCTCTTCTTGACTTCGATACAAATACAAAGTGTACAGAATTTTAAAATTATAGCTCTGAGTGAGCTATCACAAGAAAGGAAAACATTCGAATGTACGCTGGAAACAAATAAGATGGTTCAAACACTAGATTGTCAATAGTTGAGTAACAAGTCTGAAACCACTTACTTTATTCCAGTTTGTGGATATTTCAAACCACTCAGTCGCATAATCAGACGTACTGATAGACATTAGTGTTAAGTTTTATGCTACTTCTGTCTATTTAGCTACCCAAATGTAAGGTTCAATCATAACTCACTAATGATCAAATGGCCAAACTTTGAGGTCTAGCTCATGTGCAACCAGAAAAAAGCCGAGATAAGGCATCGAATGACCAAATGCAAGAGAAAAATACTGTAAGGAAGATTACATTTTACCAAAAAAATATACTATTTATACACTTTTTCAATTGCACCTTAGGTTTACATCAACTAGTTCAAAGATTTTGCACCCATTCAAATACAGTCAATACTGCTTACTAGTGAGACATGAACCGAATCCAACTGAATAAAAAGGCCATCTCCACATCCAGAAATAACACTATCCAATCTCTTAAGTTGAATTTATCTGGACATACAATTTAAGAACGCGGTGGCGGTTGAGTTATATAGCTATCATTGTCATGAGACTTGATGTGAATAGTTTCTAATTGTCAAAATCATATAAACGATTTATTTTGTAACAATGTCCAATAACTAAGTACATTTTCTAAGTGTTTTTTAGTGGAAATCCTGTTAAGACTTATAGCTAACAGAGAAGGAAACCGAGTTACAAGTATATAAAAAACAATTCAATTTTTAAAAGCTTTGTTAATTTGAAAATTCTTTTAATCGAAAACACACTTTAGATTCGGTATACATTGAATTTTAATAAAAACAATTTTCAAACCAATTAAATTTCTGTCTACCTGGCCTCTTGATTAGATAAAACATCCTGAAGTAACCTACTATTATATTACATCAGAATAATGTTGTATGATTAAAGGAAGTTCCCTAGGACGTTCTTCGTTTCTACATGATACTTGTTAACATCCATCGACATAACCTATAATATCTTCTACAAAGAATTGTGATCAACTGATACAGACACCATATTCCTAGTTAGTCGATAATATATTTAAACCAGTTTCCAACTAACAAAGTTTGAACAGTTAGGAGTAGTAAATAAATAATATATTTATAACAATTTACCCAATGCTCAATTTATTCGGAATTATCAAATCAAACCTTGGTAATGATACCTACAGTTAGGAGTAGTAGTTTCAAAGCCAGGAAATAAACTTGATTTATGTGTTAATGAGGCTTTTTGATTTTGAAATATTTTAGATACAATAATTTTGATCGAAAAACTGAGTGATCTGACTCTGAATTTTTAGAGAAATGTAAGTTATCTCAGGGTTTTAAGTAAATCTAACTGATGAATGCTAACAAACACTAGTCCAACAGGATAGGTCAGTTTACTATTTAAAATTATTATACAGTTATAAATAACCTACTTCGGATAGAATTGAACGTATTATTTGTAGAATAATCATTGGAATTAGTTGCTGAAGTTGAATGATCATAGTCGACAACAGCTGAATCACTATGATCATCAACGTTGTCAATATTATTATTATTGTTATTATCATCAGTAACACCAGAAATAATAGCATTTTTCAACTGACGTTTCAATTGTTTATTTCTACGTTTACGTTCTTGCTTAAATTGTTTTCTAGTTAAATTAACTGATTTTTGTCCATTGGATGAGTTTAAAAGAAATGCAGCATTTCCAATTTGATTATTTTTAATTTTTTGTGACTTTTGTTTATTACACTTTATGTACATAAGTAATGAAGAATCAGGAGATAATTGTAATGGGTAGATTGAATAAAATTTGGCCAAAAAACGCTCCAATGATGTGGATAAATCTGGTGAACTAGAAATAAAATTTTCGAATTAATAACACGAAAAAGAACCAATAATAATTCAAACAAAATAGTTCTTTTCAAGCAAGAAGAAACAAGATTTTCAAATGAATATTCTAGAGAAGTATTGAGAGAAAGAAAACGTCATGTACACAAGCAAACATTAAGCATTCAAAGAAGATTTCAGTTTAAAAAAAGATGAATAGAATGAATGAAACAAGCTTTAAGCTAATGAGACTACAGGTTTATAAAGTTGATGATTATTTTTATATCAACTGTAAATTTGAACTGAGTAGGATTGAAGTGATGCTTAGAGGAACAATGAATGAATAGGTGAAAATTATTCTCTGAATTTATGCCGTTTTTTCTACCTCAGTGATTTTCTTCTCATTAACTTGATATTGAGACGGTGGGAACTCTAAGTAAAGGCTTTTAACTTGTATACTGCGTCGTTTAAAAAAAATCACGACAATATATATATATAATACTTAAAATTTGAAAAAAGAATTCAATCGGAGTGTGATTCTACGCTTGTTGATTTTCAATGATTTTTTAGTTGATATCAATCTATGACGAAAACTGTTTTCAAGATAATAATAATAATAAAGATGAAGACAAAGTGATTGAAGAACTATCTAAACCTACACGTAAAATAAAGCCAATACATCTCAAATTAATGGACAAAAAAAGAAACTTAATACAAATATGAAATAAATCATAGAAACCAAGCACGACAATGAACGAATATGAAGGTAAAGTCGAATAAAATGATAAGTTTTCTAACTGAACGCTTGAGTAATTTCGCTAAACACTTCAAGTAACTCCAGGCTAAATCTACAGGGAAACAAGAGAGAGAAGGTGCAAAGTGCAAAAAGAATGCTTTACTCGAAGGTAAGTTTAAGCATATTAAATCGATGGTATTTATGGTATTTTAAATGGCCTTGAGTTTCTAAAAGTTTCTGGAACCACAGAAAATATAATAGCAGGATAGGTAATTATCCAATCAGAAATATGACGCATGACTCTTCACTTTCTACATGTTTCTGAGAAGCTTATATTTAACGTTAACTGGAAAAATTGTTTCCCAGTGTTTACAGGGCCCCTCTGGGCTTTTTAGTGGAATAAATAGGATCTCTCCAACAAAAGAATGAAAATGAGTTTGTAGGTATCAATGCCAAGGTTTGGCTTGGTAGTTTCAAATAAACTGATTTAATTATAAATATATTTTTTGCTATATTCAATGAGATTAGAATATTATATATATGATCAAAAGAATAAAAATACCCAGTTTGTTTTGTATAGACTGTATACTTCGAGGTCAGAGATCACTTGTGAGATTCAATGGGTTTCAATGAACTAATTATAACTCTCTTGTTGAACTGGGTTAGAAAACCGACATTAATCCGATAAAAATAACAAAGAGAAAAACCTTTGATCTTTAATTTCATGTTGATAATTCCGTACTGTGTTAAACATTAAGTGTTGAGTCAAAGGATTATACCTGTAAATTTTCTCATTTCATTAGATCAACATTTGATGTTTTGCTTTAATAATTTTAACTTACACTATAACGTTCCACCACTTCAAAATCATCTATCGTATAAATAAACATTTGAATAAAACATACATAGTAGTTCATTTGAGTGAAATTAATGAAAAGTAAGTTGAATTAGTGAATTAACAGTTCCGTAACACCAAAACATACATAATAAATCAGATAGCTATTAAATTTATTTCCTGTTAAATTTAATTTCTAATAAAAATTTTAATCGGACAATATTGCAAATCAGACAAGAAAAAGTGATTATTTTTTAATGACTCAGGCAAATAGTTTTAAAACGATGAAACTCAGTAACACATTAACACTCACATTTCATTTACATCCAATCTCCAACCGGAATAATCACGTTTCACACTAGAATGAGAAGTGAAAAAACTAACTTCTTTTGTTTCGAAGACAACACGCAAAGCACGAAGAAGATAGTACAGGCTGCTTAATACTTCCTCATTCGGATTTTCATTTAGTTCTATTTAAAAAAAAAAAGTTAAACAAAACATGGTGCACTTAAAAAATCACAAATTAGTACTTGTTTCTTAACAGTGTAACTTATTTAGTAAATCTAGTCTTGTGTTGTCGATTTCCAGTTACATTGCATGAGGGCTAGAAATACTACAAGGCTGGGGAAAAGTAAGAACGTGAAACACAGTTTAAACCAGCAGCATACTGGTTGAATTAACGAAAGACAAATTAAGTCAACCACCAGGTACTTGGGTATGAGTCACACTCTTGAAGTGATGGCTAAAGGTAATGGTCACCTGCTCAAACGAAAAATAAGAGCGGGGCTCGAACATGGTATTTAATGGCTAAAACTAGAATGCTTTGACTTTTTTCTAGGCAACATTTATAGTGAAGATGACCAACAAACAACAATGAAACAGATCTGAATATAGAAACATAATGATAAACTAAAAACATTATATAGACATATAAAATGTTGTAGACAACTTATTTTCATCTTGTTTTTCCTATGGTCTATGATAATCTTCAAACCTACCTTCTATCTTGGACATAACAGAAGGTAAGATAAAAGTCTTGATACACCGCCTAAAGGCATCTTTAGTGAGTAGGTACTGTCAGAAAATTTTTAGTTTTTATCTATACATGATTCAAGCTTCACTAAATATGTCCCGAAAATCTGAAACAACAATTTAAGTCGAAAAATTCATACTAACTAACCATCCAACAGAATCAAGCCTTCACCAATCAAGCCATGTATCATAACCTGGTCATCGTAGTCCTCTTGACACCAGGTTGGAGTATAAGCAATCGAAGAACTGTCGGAAATCTCTCTGCTTGTAAAATTCCTTTGATTTTTCTCACTCCGTTTATGCTGATAATTTCTATTATTCACGACAATGTTTTTAATTGAGGAAGGGAATATTAGAGACTGTTTGACAACACTGAATAAACCAGAATCAAAAGTACGCGATGTAGGATGGAAATCAATCAATTCCTTGAGATAATACCCTTTCAAAGGGATATACAGTTGAAGATATTCGTTTGAAAAATACGGTAAAGAGTACAACCAAGGATGATGACTTTGAGAATAACTCAGAGACATCGTATATTGATTATCTTTCAAATAAACCATGGTAGTTCGAACCAAATATGCACGATACTTCGATAAAGTTTTGAAAGTGCGCTGAAAAACGTCGAAAGATAAATGGAGAAACCCATTGTAAAGTCTTATAGAAGACGAGCATATATGTTAGCCTTCCACCTCATCTTACTACTAACCTTTTGGTGGGAAATGATAAATATTTACTTGCTGTCCAGCAGGTTCTAAAAACCTACGTATATTTTAAGCTACTTATGAGTAGTCTCAACATTACTACAAAAAAACAACAAGTCGATTGGATGTAAGGCGTGGTTTCATTCCAAAGCATCTCAGAAAAATGTGCAAACGTACCTCATACAAAAAGTAAATACCACTTCTTTCAACCGAAAACCCTTATATGGATCCAACCTCACTGTAGCTTCAACATGCAGAAAAGCAAAGCTAAAATTTGAAATCCTCTCTTCTATACAATCACTTTAAAATTCGTCATAAGGCACTTTTCCATGTTGTTCGAAGAATGATAGTTTATTACTATATTCAGCTGTAACATAAACTCATATGCGGCCAGAAGAACAAACTGTTGCAGAGAGACAGGTAGATATCATCAACAAAGAGCCGGGCACAGTTATGAGTTGAATCAAGTTAACATAAGTGGTACGAGATGGGATGCAAGAGAAAACGAAATAATGTAAAAATGATAATAAAAGAAACTAACGGCTGAGAGTATGGTCCGAAAAGGCTGTGGAAAGATATATATTGGAGGAATACTGGAGTTCAAGATCGTGAATATCACTGTGAACAATTCCGAGCCATACCATCCAAAGTCTTCAACCACCGATTGAGATTACCAGAGATTTACCAGTAACAATAAAAAAGGCTAAGAAGACCACAGTCAATACTTTCAACTCTTGGGAATATTTTAGGGTATTTTTCCTAAACAGAATACGAAATAACCCAAGGTAATTGATATTCCCCAACACTATACCAATACTCATAAATAAGTTCTACATTCGCTCAGTTAATAGCCTTTTTATATAGCAATATTAACTAACCGAGTTTTGTGCGACATCATATAACGAATGGTGGAAGTACATAATTACTGAAGTATTTCAAAAGGACCACCGTGCATGTAAGTTTCATTTTTATATTTGAATATGGCTAGATTTATGTAACATTTTGTGTTTATGCTTTTCGATTTTCTGTTTGTATCTATACTTCACTATCTTAAGGTGAGAAGTTAATATAATCTCCTGTAACACAATGAAATGATACGAAATATTCTTATCATACATTATTTCATTCCATTTAGATATACCATTTGAATGTAAATTTATCTTTTTATTTATGTGATGAACGCACTCCATAAATAGAATTTTGTAACTGTCGTCCTGTGTTCTATACCAAAACTGGAGCTGGCTGTCGAAAGTGTGTAACGTAGGTAAGTCATTACTGCTCGATTGATATACTAGAATTTTACTTGTGGTATCTAAAATAATATATGCGAATAACCGGTCCAACGATTTTTGAGAAATTTATTCAGCATTCACTTCTGTTTACTAATTCGTAGCCAATTCATATTGTTCTATATACTACGTGATTTATGATATGTAGTTACATTATTACCTCTCTCCACTTATGTTAACTATATTTATTCTTATCAGAATGGGTTTTGTGGAGATTTTAGAAATTTCACAGATTGAAATCATGAGTCAGTTGAAGCTAGACCACCATTGAAAACCTGGAAGCACTGGACGGCCGTTCCGTCCTAGTATAGGACTCCTCAGCAGTGCGCATCCACGACCCCGCACCCCGCGTGGTTCGGACCCAGGACCTACTGGCTTCGCGCGCGAGCACTTAACCATTAGACCACTGAGCCGGCATCCAACGGTGTTAATGTCTAACTTCAACCAATCCACGAAGTTGCGCCACCGTACACCATTGTCTTCAGTGAGTTCCTATCTCACAACAGACCTGGTTGAACTCCACTGGTAACGGCTTCTCACTAGAACTTCGGGAGTTTATTCTGATCATTTATCTCACAATTTCATTTAACGTATAAGCTTATTCAAGTTAACACTTTATATTAGTCATCCCGACACTAAAGATTTCATTTTATTTTATATTACAGATGATCCTAACTTCACATGCTATAATTTAAATTGATGTACTCTGCCTTGAGCCTGGTCATTTTTGGATTAATTTGGATATATAATTGTAGAACCTGAAGAGAACTTATTGAAAAAAAATTCTTCATTCGTATATATGTTTTAATACGGTAAGTTTTCAGCAACTAGAAGTGGAATTAAATGATTAGAATCGTAAGGGGCTTCCTTTTGTTAAACATGTAAAAAAGCAAAGATCTGAATTGCTTTTCAATTTCTCTACACAATTAATAAAAAAATATTTTAAAGGGACATACATTTTGTCTTAAATTATTATAGCATTGAATCATAAGATTAGAATAAGCTCGAAAACGTATTGATTGTTGAAGTGAATCGAAAACTCCTGAATAAACTGACTTTGTTCGGTTGGATGGTTGATACAATATGCTCATAGTCGTTGTTAACCTACAATGTAGACCAAATGTATAAGCAGAGAGGTGGCATCCGAGAAATTTCCAAACTAGTTCACTTCTGTGTAACAGATTAAGAACAACCTGATCCAATTCGAATATTATATCTGATATCTTTGGGTGAGTATATGCTATCTGAAACACATATATTGAAAAGTGGAGCAATATATGAAGGTTGATAAATAATAATAGAATGAAAAACGACTCATAAGAGTAAGTAGCATAACCCTTACCATTATGGAAGGAGTAAATTATAATATTTGCATGAGAAATTCGGTAATTTACTAAACGTAAACAATACTGGGAAACGTCATATGAAAGGTCAAATTAACAACTGCCTACCAACTAAAGTCAAATGTAAAAAACCACTGAACAAGTCCGAATACATCTTGTATTACCATGAAAGCCTTACTAAAAGTCAAATACATGTTAATTATTGGTACACAGTGTATTGTTTTTACAGTATTCCTCGTCCTGCAATGCAATTTTACATACAGTGTTTGAAAGACGTTAACATATTAAACAGTTCAGAATACAAATCGAAATTGTAACGAAAATTCTTGAACGGAATTGATTCCGTCTACGAAGGAGATAACTAACGCCAAACCCGATCGAAGCTGCTACCTTGACGCGGTGGTCGGGCTTGCCTATCGTGATGACCCAACCGAGCTATATTGGCTGGAACATATGTTCCTGCAGGTTCTACCATGCCAGGCAGGTCGGTTGGTGAACGGTAAGACTAAAAGCAGCAACTCAAGGTCTGAGGGCGAAGTCGTACTGCTGACTGTAGACGGGTGTGACAGCAGTAAGGTGTTTCCCTCGGACATCCAGCATGACAGCGATGCTGCCTTCCCACAAGGAGGGGTGGGGTTAGAAAAGGTCGACCCTAAAAATGTCACACCTCACCTTACCTCACGGATTTCCGTCTCCGGCGGTAAGGCCCTTTGAAGAACGGAGCTAACACGTCAAAAACCTTCCACAAAAAGGCCGTGTGCGACCGGCCTCAAGCAGTTGTCCCTTGGGCTCTGCGGTCACGCTCCCAGGTCGTCAAGACCAACACTAATCCAATTTCCTTTTCAGGTTCCTCAAGAAATACCCTTCCACGGTGTGGGCAGCCGGGAAGAGACACCAGCCTTCATACCTGTAAGAGCACACGAGAACAAGTTGGTCACCATCAAATCCTTCCTACACCTCCTAATACCTCTCTTATCTCCATGACTAACCCTCCCCACGTCTCTTTATCACCTCGCACCGCTAGGGCAAACGATTCGAGTACGTGGAACACTATTCCTGGTTTCCTAAAACCACGCTCCAAACTACACGTAGGAGCTTTTAACGTCCGAACACTATGCCAAATAGGACAACAGGCTTCCTTAGCTAGGACTTTAGAATCCCGCGCCATCGATGTGTTCTGCGTCTCCGAAACGCGCATACAGCATCCGAGTAGCGTCATTCATTTGACCTCACCATGCCAAAATAAAGAACCGACTCGATTTACGCTTCGTGTATCTGGAAGCCCAGATTCTACTTCCCGTGGCCTTGCCGGTGTAGGGCGGAACTAGCTCTCTTAGAGTGGATTCCATCAGACAGTCGTTTGTGCGCTGTCCGACTGAACGGAACAGTAAGAATCCGAAAAGATAGGGACACTTGTCGTTGCATCTTCGTCGTTTCTGCCTATTCTCCCACTGACTGCAGCTCAGATGATGTAAAAGATGAGTTTTACAGAAAGCTCTCCGACCTTCTCCGAAAAGCTAGGCGCTCGGATGTAGTAATAATGGCCGGTGACTTTAATGCTCAAGTAGGTAAACTAAGCGATAGGGAAAGACACCTAGGTGGATCTTATGGTGTCGTGGCTCAAAGAACAGATAATGGCGACCGTCTGTTGCAGCTATGCTCAGATAACCGCCTGTTCCTTGCAAATACTAACTTTAAGCATAAGGAAAAACATCTTTTAACATGGCGACCCCCTAATTCGTCCCAACGTTGGACCCAAATAGATCACATCGCTATCAGCCACCGATGGAGGGACTCGATAGAAGACTGTCGCTCATTCTGGAGCACATGCCTAGATTCAGATCATGCTCTAGTGCGAGCGCGTATTTGCTTGCGTCTTACTGGATGTAGGACAGACGCTGCAAGTAAACCTCTTAGGGCCCTACTTAGTGATAGTCAAGCTAAGAGTATATTTCAGGAACAACTAGGAAAACAGTTAGGCAGACATGTATGTGATGCCCACTCCGAGGCAGCATGGAACGAAAAGCTGTGGAAACAGCAGTGATATCTGCTAGTAAGGTAAACCAGAGGGTTAGGGAGCAACACTGGATCTCAGCAGCATCTATCTCACTGATAGATGCTCGGAAACTCATTCCACCTGGCTCTGAACATAATGAAGAGCGGAGTAAGCTTAAGCGCAAGCTGACGAGAAACCTACGCAATGATCGTGAACAGTGGTGGGTGGCGAAAGCAAGAGAGATGGAAAAGGCAGCGGCAATAGGCAATAGCAGACAATTGTTCAGACTCGTTAAGGAAACCGGTATTAGGAACCCGACCGTTAGCGAAAAAATCTCAGAGAAAGATGGACATATTATTCATTCTCAATCCAGGAGATTGGATCGATGGGCAGAACACTTTAGGGATCAGTTCAACTGGCCTTCAGCCACACTTCGGTTTCCCACGATCTCTAGTCAACCTGAATGGCAAGTTAATGTAGGTCCAACGTCCCTTTACGAAGTTGAAAAAGCCATAGGAAATCTGAAACGAGGGAGAGCAGCAGGCCCTGACAGGTTTACTCCTGAGATTTTTAAGGATGGTGGTCCAGTATTAGCAATGAGATTAACCGAGGTCTTAGGTAGAATTTGGGAACTGGACGTAATCCCACCTGACTGGTCTCAATCACTGATTGTGCCAGTTCTTAAGAAAGGACAAAAGTCCTCTTGTGACAATCACAGAGGAATCAGTTTGACTAATATAGTGTCTACAATATTAGCCTCAATAATACTTCGACGCCTAACTAAAGCTCGTGAAGAGCAGACTAGAGAAAACCAGACTGGTTTTCGACCTGGACGTGGTTGTATAGATCAGATATTCACACTACGTCAGGTTCTAGAACACAGACACACATTCAGACGCCCCCCACCTTAAGGCGGCATTCGACTCTATTAATCGTGAGGTTCTATGGTAGTGTTTGTCACTGAAAGGAGTACCAAAGAAGTACATTAACCTTATAAAGGCTCTCTACTCGAACACAACTGGTAGAGTGAGAGCTTATGGCGAACTGTCATCAGAATTGATTACATCAAGTGGTGTTCGTCAAGGTTGTCCACTCTCTCCATTCTTGTTCAACTTTGTCATTGACGTACTTTTAGAGATAACACTCTCCTCATCTAAATTTACAGGGGTTGAACTTCTACCGGGAGGTTCACTTGTCGACTTAGAATATGCTGATGACATAGTTTTATTTGGTGAAGACGCTGACAAAATACAGAGTCTTCTGACCACTCTAGGCAACAATGCAAGCATGTTCGGGATGCGATTCTCTCCCTCGAAATGCAAAATGTTGCTTCAGGATTGGGTTACATCGACACCCGAACTAGTGATAGGGAGTGAAGTAGTTGAGTGTGTCGACCACTTCACTTATCTTGGAAGTCTCATCAGCCCTTGTGGTTTAGTGTGTGACGAAATCTCAGCACGGATACAGAAGGCTCGACTAGCTTTTGCCAACTGGCGTCATTTATGGCGTAGGCGAGATATCCGTCTATCAACCAAAGGACGTGTTTACTGCGCAGCAGTTCGTTCCGTCCTACTTTATGGCAGTGAAACATGGCCGGTAAGAGTAGAGGATATCCGTAGGTTACTAGTATTTGATCATAGGTGTCTTCGAAACATTGCTCATATATCATGGGACCATCGAGTAAGTAACACAGTTGTTAGGAAACGGGTACTAGGTAAGGATGGCAAATCAATTGATGAAGTAGTGAAACTTCATCAGTTGAGATGGCTGGGACACGTGTTACGTATGCCCAACCACCGACTGCCTCGACGTGCTATGTTCAGTGGTATAGGAGTAGGTTGGAAGAAAGCTAGGGGCGGCCAAACCACAACATGGCACAAGTTCATGAAGTCACTGACAAGTGGACTGAGTCATGTTGGTAGGTGTAGACTACCTGGTTGGGGACCGCGAGATGATAGCAACCGATGATTAGAGACCCTGAATGACATGGCTCAAAATCGTTTGCAATGGCGCAGGTGCATCCACTCTTTGTGTTCTCCCAAATTCTAATCTTCTGAATTCTTCATGTCCCTTTTTTCCTCTTTCCAAATTTATTTCACTGGATTATACTCCTTGAATAATATCTTCAAACACTAATGTTTCCGACTACTGCTTATACTTTTACTATCTCTACCACTACGGGATTTGAATCGACAACTGCATCTCTGTGCTAATGTGGTGTGGCAACTCGAACTGATGTACGTACGTACGAAGTTCTATGTTGTTACTGACTGACTGACTGACTAACGCCAAAGGCTACAGAACAAAGAAACGAAAAAGTAATGGGATACCTGACTCAGTTCGTTCCATTTGCAAATAATATTAAGAGGGGCGTACCACACCAAACTTTTATTTGGAAGTGGTAACTTATCACGGAACCCAATTATGACTAATATCCCTTCATATTTCGATATATCAGTAAGTGATTTGGCTAAAAACTAGCAATTAGATGAGATGTATTTTTCTGTCGATAACATTTAAAATAACAACTTTCCATCCCAAAATAAAACACGCAAGAAATCCATTCCTATTGATGAACTCAAACCCAGTATTATGGCGGTACATAGTGACTCAGTGAAATGGCGCAACCTAAAAATAATCACAGCTTAGACAATAGCGTTGCGAAGAAGTGAACATAGAAGAAAATGTAAATCTTGAGACCCATTTACGAATTATCATCATTATTTATATTTTTGTTGCATAACTAGTAAATAGTCGTATTACTGTATTTATACATTCTCCTTATTGTAAGCTCTCAGTGAACTTACTAACTTTTCATACGATTTGTTGTTCTTTAATAATTGTTAATTAATTATATACTGTTTGCTCTGCTCCCCTGAGCTTATGGCATGATTGTATGTAAAGTATGAATTCATATTTGGGATGCGTTGCAGTTTGATAATTTATATAAACTAACGAGTATTTAGGATAGATATAATGGATGGTTGGAATATAGAACAGAAGTTTGACTCCTGTGTTCTGTTTTCGGAACGAGGACTAGGAATAAACGAACCAACAGAAGTATGCACTATTTGCCACACAAACTCAGGGTTATTCTTACCAATACAGGCGTACAATTGGTCGAAGCCTAGGACGCTAGCAATAGCCAAAATGGTATACAAAAGAGGCCCCCAAGTGCCCTGGTATGGCAGAGAGGGGTGGGCCCTCCCTCCCTCTTGAAATACTCTTACACGGCCACGCGTATACAGCCTCTGCCAGGCAAGTCCTACTCATTGTCTCCTCGTGGTGGGGGTGTTGTTTACGAAAATGAGAGCACGAAAAGCGAATGTCCGGCGTTTTAACCGGATTCCAAACCAATGGTGCACATGGGCTCCAGTATCCTGAAGGAACAAATGGCGTATGAACCAATCGTTGGTCACCGACTTGGAGATGTTATTTAAAGAGTATAATCCAGTGAAATAAATTTGGAAAGAGGAAAAAAAGGACATGAAGAATTCAGAAGATTAGAATTTGGGAGAACACAAAGAGTGGATGCACCTGCGCCAAATCGTTTGCAATGGCGCAGGTGCATCCACTCTTTGTGTTCTCCCAAATTTTGATCTCCTTATTCCTCCTTGTCTCTTTTTTCCCTTCCCAAATTTATTTCACTGGATTATACTCTTTAAATAACATCTCCAAACCCTAATCTTCCCTATTACTGCTTATACTCTTGCTACCTCTACCACTACGGGATTTGAATCGACAACTGCATCTCTGTGCTAATGTGGTGTGGCAACTCGAACTGATGTACGTACTTACGAAGTTCTACGTTGTGACTGAGTGACTGACTGGTCACCGGCTACCATGGGACTGCATCTCCTTACGATGCTCTACTGCCTTGTGGGTCAGACTTTAAGGTCGAAGGCTCGGGGTGTGGTCCCCTAAGAAAACCACCTGCTTCGGTCCGGGCACCCGGGCAGTATCACAGCCCTCACACAAATCGAATGATTTATGTGGCACATATCTATTTGGTGCCTCCTTGTACCAATATCTATGTGTTAAAATAATAACAATAATAATAATACAAAAGGGTAGAGAAATTCTAATCAGAATTCTAATCTGAGAATCGAACAAGTGATATCGACTAACATCTCAGACATGACAAGCAGATCAAACAAAACCATATTTTGGGATACGATTTTGTATCGGTTACTCAGAAATATCAATCACTAGGAAGGGTAACGAAAGGTTAGATCATAAGTTATTAGGACAAGCATAACAATTATGCTTAGAACTAATCAGTTAAACGAATAAGTTCAATCGCTTCGTGAATAATATTAGTGTATTCTGGCTCGAATGTAAAGAAAGTTTCATGGGGTTTAGCTTAGTTACACAATGATTGTTGCTAAAAACAGTAGACTAATCAAATTTGAGCAAAATGAATATTCAAATAGCTGACCCATATATTTTTTCACAAATCAAACATTATTATTAGATTACTGAAGTAAGCCAGCTAAAATATGGTCACAACAAAAAAAACCAACCTAACATATTACAAGAAAAAAATATAAATGATGAATTGGTGAGCCAAAATCACATAATCCTTGTATAACCACGTAGAGTGAGTATACGAACATTATAAAAACTCATAAACTTACTTGTACAATCTTAACGAACAGCTGACAAATCTCATCGCAGAAGCGAGGGTCATCAACTCGTCTACAAAATCGCCCAAGTACGAATATTAAGTTTCCTATTTGAATATCACACCCTGTATTTACAGTAGAACCCAACAGTTTCTGATGTTCATCGACTACTTTTGATATAAAGTTGCTGGATAGAGATAAAACGTTTTTATCTAAAAATGGAATTGTGGTTATTCCTTTTGCCAGTGGATCCAAGAGACGATTGAGAGCCCGTAAAGCGGACTGGCGAAGAGCACTATCCTCAATGTTTAGTGAATGAATAGAACTTTCAAAGATTCGAACACTAGTTTCATCCCCTTGTATCTAGGTTATTCATCATATATAATTAATAACTGTGCACACCTTGCAAATTTCACGTTCTTTAGGAAGGATTATTCTCTTCTTCTGCAAATTGATTACTGTCTCGTTTCGGCATTTTAATTTCCGTCCAACTTTAACTCGAACCTTTTGAAAGTCTTTTTTACTTTTCACCATAACTTCAAGCAAAAGAATAGTTGAAGGTAATAACAAATACTTCAAGATGTAAGTTGAAACGATGGTTTTGAATTGGCTTTCAATTATTGCGCCGCTAGTCTGAGCAACTAGCTAATGCAATTGGCTTTCAAATAAATGGAAAATAACAGCCATATA